CCCTGTTCATCCAAAAAGGAAGAAAGGGAAAGAAAGAAGGAAAATCCTAGCGCCGCCTTCTTCCTCCACTCTCTCGAAAGCGGTGCTAGGTTTACAGAGAATAAAAATGGGAAAGAAAAAAAGTAGTAGAAACGGTGAAGCATCCGGTCGAAATTTGGATGATCCGACACATATTCATACTCGTTCTATCTTGTCATGTGGACACAGGTATTTCATCCATTTCGAAGAGTTCGAGCATTAGAGGTCATTATGACATTTCTTCGTTTCTCTTCTCTTTGTTTGGGAGAGGCTTTTGACTTAGAATTTGACCTCGCACTTCATCTAGCTCTCGTTTAAGACTTGCAGGAAACATATATACTCGTTCATCCTCCTCTCTTTTCCGATATCCTACACTGTCATTGGCACTCTCCCATTCTTTATCGTAACACAGATCTAATTCCTGCCACAATGTTACTTTTTCATTGTATTATACAGTTACCTCTCGATCTCCTTGTGTTAAGTGCCATAGCTGAGTCTTGAAATAAAAAATCTCAGACAGATTCTCCAAATCAGAATGTGTCACGAACTGCTTCCCACAACTCCTTTACAGTTGGAATAAATAGGAAAGGTTTTCCTATTGCGAGCTCCATGGAGTTAACAAGCCAAGCTGTAACCATGGAGTTTTCGGATCTCCATGATTTGAGGTTGGGATCATTATCTGCTAGTTTATTCACCTCGCCAGTCAAGTGACCAAGTTTTCTTTTTCCGTCTATCACCAGTTTTACTGTTTGTGCCAACTCTAGGTAATTTTTCCCCTTTAATTTGTGTTTTTAAGTGCAAGGAATTATTGTCGAAGTTGAAACATCTGCTTCGATATTTGAGGTTGAGATAGGGATACTCAGCGGCTTTGCCTGAGGATGCTGAGCTTCTAATTCCTCCGGTCATTGCTGAATTAACCATCGAGAACTCTTGTTAGAACCAAAGCGCTGATACATTGAAAGATTCTGAAAAGAAAGAACAAAAAATCTTCCTTATTATTATTCATAATTGATTGCAGAAAGTACAGAATAATAGCTTAAGAGTTACAAGAAAAAAGAATTCTAATCAGATTAAACTTCTAAATTCTATCACTAAATCTATTGAACAGATTATGATGATCTATTCGAACAGATAATGTTGATCTGTTACAATAGATTATATCAATCTCTTATAATTGATTTTAATTTAAATAAATCCTATCTAACAAACTCCTAATTTCTCTACAAGATGGAATCTGCTAATTAGTTTTCTAGTCGTCGTCAATGGTGACAATTTTGTTATGCATGTCAAGTTGACATCCTTGGAGAAATTACATAAAGATATTTGTAGACTCTACAATAGTTTTATTGGTGTTTACATAATGCTAATAAAATTTACATTTATTGATGCCATGAATTTGGTTCAACACATAGATCGTAGGTGTTCATAAATCGATAAAGCAAGTTAAACTTAATATTGAGAAATTGAGCTACACCTTAAAGTTTGGGCCAAACTTGTCCCACCTCAAAAGGCCATATCCAGTCCAGCTCTACATTTGAGGTTTATTTGTGATAATTCCTATGCTATTTTTCTTGGACTTGGAAATCGGTGCCAAACACTAATGTCTGATTCGTTAAGAAGTATGTTCGTTTAAATATGAATTATCTACATGCCATAGCCAATCCTAAACTGTAGAAGAGTGCATGTGACGTAGTTATGAATGTAGAGTACTCTTTCAAGTGTACATTTTTGAAATCCTTTCACAGGATGAATTATGGGTCAAAGAATTTTATTTTAGATGCTTTTGTGGTTTCCTGTGAAGAGATTCCTTAGTAGGACTATTCATACTTTTTAACTCAATGTTTGCGAGTTGGCAGAGATGCTACATATAAAACTTTTAGTTTAGGCCCTTATATATTGCAAACTTCTCATGCCTACATGACCTTATCTGACTACTGAGTGAAGGGAAGAAATTTCTTCTTTCTTGTTCTTTGTTGTTTTTGTGGTTGTTTCATAGTTCTGTGGGTTTTTTTGTTTATAAAACAGAATTCTCGATACAGTCAATATCATAAATGTAAAATGCTGTCGCAGTATTTTCGGACTATGATGCTATGCTATGCAGGTACAGTGGCAAATAATGTTGAGAGTTCTGGAGAGGAATCATCCACTGGATGCAATCTCCCCTTGGATGGTGCAGAGTGGGTGGACCTCTTGGTTGGAGAAGTAATAAATGCTTCAAATGTAGAGGATGCTAAGATGCGTGTGTCGCGAGCACTCGAGGTACTAGAGAAGTCCATTTTTGCACATGCAACTGCATCTGCCAAGAATGTGCAGAAGGTGTGTTATGATAATCTCATTTAACTCTTGTACTGAATCCTATTTTTGATTTAGATTATTATGGTCTTGTAGACAACATTTTAACTTCTTTTTCTTATTTAATACTATTCAACTTACCAAACATGCCGTTAATGTTTTGCTACTACTTTCTTTGATTTAAATGAGTTTTGTGTTTGTAGGATAACATTGCGCTAAAGCAACAGCTGGAAGCTCTTATACAGGAAAACACCATTTTAAAGCGAGCAGTTTCTATCCAGCATGAGCGCCAGAAAGAGTTTGAGGAAAGAGGCCAGGAGTTGCATCAGTTGAAGCAGCTGGTTTCTCAATACCAAGAGCAGCTGAGAACTCTTGAGGTCAGATTCACAAACTAAAAGTTGTATTATTCCTTGCTCTAAGAGTCCGTTTGATTGCAAAGATGAAATTTGGGTGGAAAAAAAACGAATTTCAGGGAATTGAATTGCCTAGAAATTGTTTGACTGGGATTTGTCAATTATTGTGTTCGATTGGTATAATTTTTCACTTGAAAAATATTGAAATAAAAGTACCTTTTCGTGTTCGTTTGGCCTTGTTTGTCATGGAAATTGTCAATTTAAGGGATCCTCTTTTACATTGTTCCTAGAAAAAAAAAATCCAAGAAAACCAAAAATGTCCAAAAATAATCTATCTTTTAATGTTCGTTTGGCTTTGTTTTACATGAAAATTGTCAATTCAAGGGATATCATCTTTTACAATTGTTCCTAGATTTTGTTTCAATTGCAAAAAATTAAAAATAAAATAAAAACATGGAAAACCAATTGAAAAGCTATGAAAACCAAGAAAATGCTAACGTGGCAGCCAAAGTGGGAAAATCAATTCCCTAGAAAATTTTGTCAATCAAATAGGCCAAAAGTGAAAGTTGGAATTTGTTTTCCATTTTCCATGGAAAAAATTGGGCTATCAAACATAGCCTAATAGTAAACAGATGATTGACAAAACTGAACTTGCAGCCTAAACCATGCTCAGAGACAGACAGGTTTTCTCATCTTATAAAGTCAATCACCTAGTTAACTCCATCCCCCATATTTAGTACAGAAGTTTTAATACCATCTTGAGAGGGTATATTTCTCAAAGCATGGAGTTCGAATCAAAGCTAACGTTTGAATTGGAGTTGATCCTTTGATTCTCAAAGGAGAATGGAAAAAAATTATAATTTCAACATTGGCTTAATTATTTTTATATATCCGATGGTTAAATTAAGATGATACATTTCATGTAAACTTAAAATGACTTCAGCTAATGCGGCCTAGGGAATGTAGCTGTAATAGTCAAATTAGTTTATAAAAGCATGAATTAATATCATCTCCACTCTTGTTTCACACTTATCATCCTATTTACTGACCATGTTTACCGCAATCTCAGATGCTATGGTTATTGGGTGTGCAGAGAGAGGAGAGAGGCAAATAGTAGATTTTTAGTGGAGAACCTATTTGCATATAATCTTGTTTAGTTGTTTTAAAACATTTGTTCTTGTGAGGGATATTTTCAAAGCTACTAATTTTTGGTCCATTCAAAGATACTCTTTTTTCTTCCATTCGAAAATATTTGGAATCTGCACTTTCTTCTGGGTTGATATGAAACTCCATAAAGCTTGGTTTTGCTTTGATGTTGAATGCTTTCTGAGCTTACTTTATATTAGGGGTTCTGTAATATCCATGAAAAGATTGCCTAAAGAAAGTATTTTCCATGTATTTTAGGTTGATAAAATATACCCGAATGCCAAAATCTGTCATCACTAGAATTTTCTGCTGAATCTTCCCTTGAGATATGCTAATTACTATGTATCTTTTCATCAGGTCAATAATTATGCGCTTGCAATGCATCTCAAGCAGGCTCAGCAAAGCAACTCGGTACCTGGGCGTTTTCATCCAGATGTCTTTTAGTTAATCTTTGCATATTTGTTACGTATCCGCATATTGTGTGTTTGTGTGTGTGTGTGTGGGGCAAGTTTAATACATGTAATAGTAAGAAATCCTGATTGGTTTCTACTAGGGCGCTTAGCTTTAGTTGGAATGTCTATTGAGGGTGATAATATAGAGTGTGTGCGCGCGCGCGTGCGGGCTGATGGGTATTCAAAGACATGTTTGAACTATCTTTTAGTTCCATTTGCACAATTAACAATGGATTTTATGCTTATAGCAGGAGACAATAATAGTTTTATGTACCCTAATATATATACTGCTAATTTTTCCATTGCAAAGTTGAACGCGTTTAGTAATTTTAAGCATTTCTGTTTGGAATCATTGTATCCTCAGTTCGAGTGTTTGTGGACATGGCCTTTACATTTATTTATTTTCTATCTTTTTTCTCAATGATACTTTTTTAATAAAATAATATTACGTGGGAAATTATAATTTTTTCTTATTTTTTAATCCCGTATTCTACGTCAATCTACTATTCCAAAATATATCAACCCAAAAATGGGGTGGCATTTTTCTACTCATTAGATTCTCTCATAATAACAAAGGGCACATCGTCATAGAAACGCACTACTACGAGCTTATTTTGACTGCCATCTGGCTCTGAGAGCCATCCAACATTTCCATGAGCGAGTAGATTATGCCTATGCTTGGCCTCCACTTTTCCAAAAGTTCATTTTTTAAAATAATTAATCTAATTGTACAATATAATTGACAAAACAAGTGTTAGTGAAATCTTAGCATTTGATTTCAAATGATTTAAAGAAGTATTTTTGAAATTATTAGTGTAGATGTTGTTTTGTAAATTAACTTTGTCAATTAATTTTGTACAAGTAGCATAACATTTTTTTAAAACTTATTTCTAATCACATATTTTCTTATAAAAATAATTTTAAACATATATTTTAAAAAAAAATTATTTTTTAACAACACATTTTTCAATATAATACTATTTAAAAATGTATTTAGCCCCGAAATGGGGCTCAAATAAAGGCTATGTAGCTTTAAAATGAAATGCATTATACCTCAAGTGATTAAAGCGATTCATGCTGCTCAAAAGCCATGACTGCAGACAGCAAAATCAAAAATATCCAAAATGTACAATTTTCTGAAGCATTGGAGACACGTTATAGCAAGGATAAAGATTCTAATACATAATTTTTTATACATAAGGGTATCCACCCCTCATATGAAATGGGATCCGTTCAAATATTTTGTTCGAGGGGACCCCCCATATGAGAAAGTGGACACTCGTATATACAAAAAATTATGTATTCCTAGTATTTCTCAAGCACTAATCAGACAAGAATAGAAAAAAGCCATAAGTCCAGACAGCGTCCCTGTTTTTAAGCCTGTCCAGAGGCTTGGACAAGGAGCACGTCTGACAAGAATATCATGTGCAAAGATTTGATTATGTATTGACACCTCGGATTTAGAGCCGTAGATACCGCACAAGATTCCTTCCCTGTCAATTTAATCGCCGAATAATGCATATATTTTATAATTATTTAGAGAAAATCCAAATTCCTCGATCTCAATCATGATTGTCTAATTGGTTGAGATCAAGTTTTCACGTGATTATGTGTCATTTTTGCTGTAAAAATGAGTTGGGATTTGTTTTTCATTGAATATTAGTTGGAATTGGAATGATTTTTAATATCTCGTTACTTGTTATGTTTTCGTGATTACAATAAAATACCAATATTATATTAAATACATTAAACGATAGTCCGTCTTCAATAATAATTTTACGATCATTTCGTGGAACTCAATACTATTTCTTTTAATATATTAATAATAATTTTATTTGAATGCTTCATTAATTTTGTTGGAAACAATCAATTGATGCATCCAACTTTCGTGTATCTAAATTTGCATTGACGGTAGAGTTATGCAACATGTACATCCTCGTTTACGACTTCTTTTACAGAATATATACTTGACAAAATCTCACACAATCTTCCACAACAAATACATTTAATCCGATCACTACAATTCTTCCATGCAAGCATCTGTACACCAGGGTGGCAAGAATACATATTTTCCTATAACGATTAGACGATACTTTTTTATTTATTGTATAAGAGCTTTTAAGTACGTGAGCATCCATAATTTTAACGAAAGGTAAACACCAGACAATTTTAAAATCAAATTACGCACATTTATAAATATTTGTCATTTAACTTTAGAAAGTTTTTAATAATAGTATTTAACAAGACATTTTTTAATATACGATTCTTGCTTAAGAAATTTAATTAGAGATAACTTATTATACGAGTCTTTTTATTAAGAATAAAAAGAATATTCAACCTAGGATTAGATAAATATCCATTTAGGATAATCAATCAATAAATTAAAAAATGTGGGAATATTCATTTAAGATAATGTATCAAGAAGATCTAGCTAAAAAAAGTTAATAATTAGTTTAGTAGATTCATAGGGAGAAACAAGATTGATAGCAATTTTACTTTAGTCTTTTGTCATTACACTAAAAGCCCAATAATATGGGGAGTGAAGGACTATCTCTAATCAATGTCACATGATGACATATTTAACATAAAATAGTACTATGAATCTATTCAAATAATTCTACATTTAGATATAATCCAACTCAATTTTATCTATTATTTTAGCATTCAGAACTTATACTTTGTCGTGCTCAAATTCTATGTATCAAATGACTCGACACAAACTATAATGCCCAATTTTTGTTCACATAAAAATGATGTTATTAAAAGCTAGTTTTCTTGATTTTCAAATTCAAACATGTAACCTTTTTATTGGATTACTGATCATGTGCATCTAGAGTTAGTTCAAGAGGGTCTCTTAATGTTTTAATTTTTTATTTCATTGGAGTATGCAACGTTGAATTAGACATTATTAAATATGCAGATATCACAATCAAAGTAAAAAGAATTATCGTACAATATATTCTTTAATTTAGTATACCAAACACGATATTACATAGTAAAAAAAAAGTTTATGGGCACAGTACACTACCTTTTGGACCGATTGTTCAATACTCTATACCTTTTGGAATAGACGAAAAATACTTGAAACTTGAAGTGCGAAAAACCATCTGTATGAACTTTGAAGTGCGATCCAGCCCTTATCGTTCAATTCCGTTAATTTAGGCGTTAAAAACAGCAAAAATTATCAAAATTAAAAAGAAATAATTGTGTGTGGGATCCTAAACTTTTTTTCTTTTTGTAAATTACACCTAAAACTTTTATTTGTATCATCCATGATCCCAAACCTTTAAAACTTTACATTTTCTTCTACAATCCCACCCCTACTCTCCCCTACGTCGTCTTCCCGACGTCACCCCAAGCCAACCCAATCCAAATTTCGCCGGTATTCTCCCCCTACCGCTAACCAAATCTCGCCGGCAACATGAAGTGCTAGCGCGTGCAATTCCCAGTGATGGAATCTTTCATTAATCTGAGAATCAATTGGCGTGATAATGGAGGAAACGCACAAACTATAAGAACCAGAATTCCAATCTCCGAAGCAACCAGTTCCTCACATGCTTCCGAAATTTAAATCAATCTCTTTAACTGAAAAAAAAAAAATACAAAATCTACATAATAAAAGCAATCCAGAAAGCGTGAATCCGCATTAACTTCATTCTGTAAACTTCACCTTTTCCAATCCCTTTATTGCAAACCCTGGACCTTTATAACAACATTTGCAATTGTCCATATACTCCGGTTCAGGCTAAATCCTTGGAGAAAACTGGTTCTATAGACATACAAGATGTCAAATTGGGGTCAAGTTTTCGCAGGTGCGGTGCTGTTCATTCTGTTGACTCCGGGTCTTCTGATTCAGATGCCGGGTCGGAACCGGTTCGTGGAGTTCGGCAACTTCCAGACTAGTGGAGTTTCCATACTGGTTCATTCTATTATCTATTTTGCTCTCATTTGCATTTTCTTATTGGCTATTGTGGTTCATATGATATGTCCATACATTTTTTTGAGGTGCTCACTCGCCGTGGCGATTTTCACCAGGATTTTGTGAATGAAAAGTGCTAGGTGTAATTTGCAAAAATCAAAAGTTTGGGACCACGCTTGCAATTATTCCTCTCAAATTTTCACTATTTTTAATGCTTAAGCTAATGAAATTAGACGGTAGGGGATGGATCGCAATTTAAAGTTCATACAGGGGTGGTTTTTCGCATCCAAAGGTTGTCTTCTGCATTTCAAATCTCATATGGGAATGTTTTCCATCAATTTCAATATGTGCGGTTATTGTATATATGTTTGATTTCCATTTTTCCTAAAATACATTTTTTTCTCTCTTCTTTTCAATTGTATATTTTTTATTAAGATAATATTATACGTAAATCAAAATTTTTTTTTTCTATTTTTAACCACACATTTTCTATCAATATACTATTTGTTCAGAAAGAATGTGGCTCAAACAAACCTTATGAAGGTATTTGACATCAATTTTTATGGAAAAATGAAATTTAGAATAGAAGATTAATGGAGAATGTGTCAATGAAAAATAAAGAATTTTTTTTATTTATGTGTACTATTTTAATAAAAAAGTGTGGTTAAAAGGAAAGAGAAAAATACAATTCGAAAAAGAAAAAAAGAATTAAATGGGGCTATATATATGATGAACAAATTTTCTTAAAGGAAAATTGTAGCAGCGGTCCTTAATCTTTTCATTTTTTTCAGACTTTACTCTAGTCTTCATTTTATGCCAGCAGTTGTCCTAACATTTCATAAATATGCATCTAAGGTCAATCTCGACGGAAACCGTCGAAAAAACTGTCAGTTGACCGAATAATTTAAGGAATCAACATCCAATAAAACCATCCAAAACACCATTCAAAAGTACTGTCCAAAAAGGTATCAACATCCAATAAAATTATCACGATAACAGACGGTTCAAGGAATTTTTCAATTGATGATATTTTGGTCGACTTCCGTCCAGATAGACCTCAGGTACATATTTATGAAATATTATGGACTTTTCTAGCATAAAATAAAGATTATGGTAAAATTTGCAAAAAATAAAAAAAATTAGGGATCTCTCGTTCAATTTTCCCAACAAATAATAGCTGGCATGTATACATCAATAGCTGGTAAGTTTTCAAACTTTCAGCATCATGTCTGTCCTTGCGTAGATGCATCTATGATTTTTCAACAAAAGTGGCAGATCGTGTCTCTAAATGATTAAGAAAAATATAGTGCCTTTTTTAGGTTTTTACAAGAGCCATAAATTTTTATTTATTTTTGTGGTTATTACTTCATTTTAATATAAAATATGTTTGAGAAATATAAAAATAAATTAAATAATTAGGTCATTTTACTTGGTCTAAAAACAACGGCCCTTTAGAGATCTCTCTCTTGATTTGGTTGAAAGTGGATACTTAGATGGACAACTCATCATATCCACAAGGGAACCATGTGCACCTAACCCCACTATAATTTGTCAAGTCTCGTGGAAACATACCCCTTGTTTGATCTCCATACTTTAAAAAAAATGAATTCTTTTTTATATAATTTCAATCACATATTTTTTAATAAAATAATATTACACTCGAATCCAAAAAAATTTCTTATTTTTCAACTACATATTTCTCATCAATACACTACTTAAAAATTCATTTTTCCCTCAAAATGGGGCTCAAACAAGGGCATATTATTGGGAAAAGAATTTCAATAAAGCTACACAAAACGGGCTTTTTTGACAGGTTTACGATGATTTGTTATTATTATTATTATTTTTTAATTGTCTACTTTCCTCTTGACATGTGTCCTCTGGATTGAATATTTGGTTCCTATCCCTGATTTTTTTGGCAAGGTTGAAATAATTTGGTGTATATTTGTCCAGGTAGCTTGTTACGTGGCGATGGTTGCATGACACAACAAGACACGTGGTATGTTTAACTAACACTTCATTACGTGACGTGGCTAATCAAATTATTAGTTTAGAAAGTTGATTATGGGTATTGTTGGTCTTATTCAATGACTTTGAATTATATTGTTATTATAAGAGTTTGTCAATTGACGAATTGACAAACACCAAGTATGAGACTTAACTCCAAGTATGAGGCGAAAGAAAACACCAAGTATGAGACTTAACTCCAGTCCCCACCATTGATTAACTCAGGCAATTAAGGGGGTGATTGGTATTGATTTTTCACTTAAAAAAAATTAATTTTTTGACCGTTATTTAATCATTCAAGCAGTCATTTTTGACCAATTCTCTCACAAGTATGATCCACTTTTTCTCTATTGGTCAAAAAATCAATTCTCAAAATCTCTACCAAACAAGCCCGAAATTGATGGATGCATGGTGGAGAAGCAAGCCGACGCCTATCAAGAATTTAGTAACACTTTTTCTTGAAATGCGTCAACCAACAAGAACCTAAGAGATTTTCTAAACTAGTGTTTGATCGTCATAATCGAGAAAATAAATAGCCAAACTAAACAAGTAATCACACCAAAGCCAATTGTTGATAAAAACACTACAAAAATATCATGCAATTATCAACTTTAAGTACATTAACATGCACGCATAAGGTCTTAAATTCAATTAAAAAAAAAAAAATCAAAATACTCCAACTCAAGCTACTCAACTATCAAATCACAACTCAAAATTACATCACCTAATCATCCTGTAATTGAATTATCTAGTTGACATTCAGTTTCACAAATTTCATACGTTTCCACGAGGACATATTTTATTTGTTTCAAGATCCATTAAAAAAATTTCAATAATTTTGAAATATTTATTTTTATATGATTTCTACCATCAATAATTTTTTGGTTACTACTTTATCATACCCAATCCTAGCCTTCCACGAAACACACATTCCACCTCGGATTACATTATTAAAATCACACATGATTCATGAGTCATGATTTATGAAACCCCTTCAATTATTTCCATTAAAAAAACACTAGCAGTCAGATGACGTCACAGTCAGCTGGATCCACGTGTAACAATCAACCAACTCCTCAAGTTTTCAGTTCAACCCGTTTACCCGTCTAAATCTTGACTTGGATCCACGTCAGACCATTCATTATCGTTACACGACAAATTTGCATTCCAATTATTTTTGTTCCCCCCATAATCATACAATACGTGTCCTAAGTAGTTCTACTTATCCATTGTTGTATAGAAATTTCGTGACGCTTCTTAAACAGCCAGTTTAGATTCGTCTAGATCATTCGTTTTGGCTTCTAATTTTTATCGTTTAATTTATAGGATAATTTTATTTTAAAATAAATTAGATAAGTTTATTAATGACATTTATAGGTTTAACATCACAACTACTACGTAACATTATTCATTTGATAATAATTGCAATTTGACATCTTCATTAGTGAATTCGTGGTTCGTCTTAGACGAAATTTATAACAAAATAAGCTAAAATGCACTTATTCCTTGTTTGGGCTCCATTTTAATGAATTGTTGAGAAAAATGAATTTTGAAATAGTATTTATTTTTTTTTAAAAATGTGTAGTTAAAAAGTAAGAAAAAGCTCTAAATTTACGTGTAATATTATTTTATTGAAAAATGTATGAATGAAAATGAAAAAAGAGTAAAAATGTATTAAGAGCATGTTTGAGTGCCATTTTTTGGTTAAAATGCATTTTGAAATAGAGATCGATGAAAAATGTGTGATTAAAAAATAAGAAAAATTTTGAATTTATGTATAATATTATTTAATTGAAAAATATATAGTTAAAATGAAGAGAAAGGAAAATATATTTTAAAAATAATATGGATCAAACAAGGGTTAAATGAAAATGAAGCCCAGGTAGACTAGCCTTCTTCGATTACTGTATGACCCTAGACCCTAAAGGAATGATGTATGCAATAACGCATACGGCTAAATAATTTAGCTGCCATTTAATTTTGATTTTTCAAGCTAAAATTTTAATTTTTTTATCGTTATTTAATATAGTCTGCTATCATTTTTGACTTCTTTACTCCCGGGTGCGACCTACTTTTCAAACTAACGACCAAAAAATTGATTCTCTAATCAATACCAAACAGGTACTTAATCATTAAAATTTATGACAAACGATGATGTTAGTTCCTATTAGGCGGCAACATCATCAAAAGATGTTTCATGTGTGGTCCATGTAGCGAGTGCTTTCCACGAACACTAAATTTTTCATCATGAACCTCGAGATTAGCTTTCCATGATTTGTTGTCCGTAGATAGAAAATACACAATAATTTCAATTGCCTCTAAACGAAAGGTTACCAATGCTCTATTTGAACGACTAGAAAATATCTGAAGAATCGTACTGCAAGTGCTTACCAAGTTATGAAACTTCTTATTAGGGTTTTATCATTTTTTTTTTCCTCCATGTAATTAGGCTCCAAGCTTAATAATTACGGTACACGTGTTTGAATTAATATCTTGACGTAAAGGGCAAACTTAACTTATATATTAAAAATATGAGGAGAAAAATCCAAAATGATTAGTAGATACACAATGGATTAGCCTGTCGTGGATCCTACGTGGCAATCAGAACGACAGTTGAGAATTTGACAATATCAATGGAAACACCCTCTTTTGCACCGTTGGATTACGCGTAAAAACAACAATAGAAGAAACCGCGGGGTGGGGCGGGGGTCAATAGGGGTACACATACACCCCCTGTATCATCCGCCATGGTACCTCTCTCAATTTCAATGCACTGTACCAGACCTCCTACCACTATAAATTGGCTATTTCTCAAGCATTCTTCATCATTCAATTACACATCTACTCTTCATTCTCAGAAAGAAACCAAGACTAGGTTCTTTCTTTCTCGTTTCCCCTTTTTTCGCCTAATTCTATTGTTTCTTACAAGGTAATTTTCTTCGTTTTTGTTCATGTTTTGGGTCTGATTTGAGGTGGGTTTCATCTGTTTTTGTGAAGTAAGTTTATTAATGAAGTGATTGTGCGAAACGTTTTTCAGGTTAGTGAAGTACAATTTGGTAAAGTTAAAGAAGCCATGACGATCAAGCCATCTGTGAGGATTGCAGATCGGAAACTGGTGGTGAAGGACAGGACTTTATTGACGAATGTGCCGGATAATGTTATAGCCACCTCTGGAGCGGCGGCGCCGGTGGAGGGGGTGTTTCTGGGAGCGGTTTTCGACAAAGAAAACAGCCGGCAAGTGGTGTCGCTCGGAACACTGCGTGATGTGCGTTTCTTGTCGTGCTTTAGGTTCAAATTATGGTGGATGGCCCAGAAAATGGGGGACAAAGGCCGTGATATTCCATTGGAGACACAATTTTTGCTCGTGGAAACTAAGGATGGATCTCAGCTGGAATCAGATATTAATGGAGACGATGAAAATAAGGTTGTTTATACTGTGTTTTTGCCCTTGATTGAAGGCCCTTTTAAGGCTTGTCTGCAGGGGAATGATCAGGATGAACTTGAATTGTGTTTGGAAAGTGGGGATTGTGACACAGTTGGATCGTCCTTTACGCACTCTGTATACATCAGTGCCGGAACAGATCCTTTCGGGATCGTGTACGAGGCAATCCGGGCAGTGAAATCCCATCTAGGGTCATTCAGGCTGAGGCATGAGAAGAAATTGCCTGGAATTGTGGATTACTTTGGATGGTGCACTTGGGATGCATTCTACCAAGAGGTGACTCAGGAGGGAGTCGAGGCAGGGATCGAGAGCCTCGAGGCCGGTGGGACCCCTCCGAAGTTCGTAATCATCGATGATGGATGGCAATCAGTTGGTACAGATGAGGAGAAGGAAAAGAAAGAACAAGAGCAGTCATCTTTGCTGAGGCTTACCGGGATTAAAGAAAATGAGAAATTTCAAAAGAAGGACGATCCCTCAGTAGGGATCAAGAACATAGTCAACATTGCAAAAGAAAAGCACGGATTGAAATACGTTTATGTGTGGCACGCGATCACCGGTTACTGGGGTGGGGTTCGACCTGGAGTGAATGGTATGGACGAATTTGGATCGGCTATGAAGTATCCAATGTTATCCAATGGAGTCTTATCAAACGAACCGGGGTGGAAAACTGATGCAATCGCACTGCAGGGGTTAGGTTTGGTGAACCCAAAAAATGTGTACAAATTTTACAATGAATTGCATAGCTACTTGGCTGCTGCTGGAATAGATGGTGTCAAGGTGGATGTGCAGTGCATCTTGGAGACCCTCGGGGCCGGTCTTGGGGGTCGGGTTGAATTGACCCGCCAGTATCACCAGGCTCTTGATGCATCTGTAGCTAGGAACTTTCCTGATAATGGATGCATCGCCTGCATGAGCCATAACCTTGAATCCCTTTATTGGTATGTTTCTGATCCTTTTTTTTATAAAGATCCCTTTTTTTTTTTTTTTTCTTTTTCTCGATTAGTTTGCATACTTAGTGTTCATTTTACATTTTTTTTTTATTTTATTACTATTTTTTTTTATCAATCTGTTATAGTTGTTGGATAGATTAAAAAAGGCATCCTAAACTTCTCAGAACACTAAAAAACAGCTTAATTTGTCTGGAACGTATTCCGTCAGACCTAAGATTTTCACTTGGATTATGTAAAGTTTTATCTTTATTATCTCTACATTTCATAATTGTAGAACGGAGTTAGTTACATTTAAGCTTTGATGGTCCGAATAAGATATGTTTGTAGAATATTGAGAATCTGGGAACGAAGTTATGACTACATTTTGTAATTTCGATTTAGAAATATTCTGATGTGTTTTTGTTCTGATGATCCATAAAACAGCTCGAAACAAACGGCTATTGTAAGGGCATCGGATGATTTCTACCCGCGTGATCCTGTATCACATACCATCCATATTGCTGCGGTGGCATATAATAGTGTCTTCCTCGGAGAAATCATGCTACCCGACTGGGATATGTTCCATTCTCTGCATCCTGCAGCTGAGTACCATGGATCGGCTAGAGCAATCAGCGGTGGACCTGTCTATGTTAGGTGAAGAATTGTAGATCCTTTTTTCATGCTTATGAGGTTTTCCGTCGTTATTATTTATCGATTAGCATAGGCTAATGTTGTGTCCTTTTGTAACAGTGATGCACCTGGGAAGCACAACTTTGATCTTCTGAAGAAGCTTGTTCTCCCTGATGGATCGATTCTTCGAACCCGCTTGCCGGGTCGTCCAACCAAGGATTCTCTGTTTTCCGATCCAGCTCGAGATGGTGTTAGGTAAGACTTTTCAATTGCAAAGAAATAGAATTTGAGAATCGAACTTTTTCTTACTGAATTAAACATAAATTTGATTGTATAATGTTTTCTAACTCGATATTTGGTACTATTTCCAGCCTGTTGAAGATATGGAACATGAACAAGTATACTGGAGTACTTGGAGTGTACAACTGCCAAGGTGCAGCATGGAACAGTATGGAAAGGAAGAACACATTCCACCAAACGAAATCCGAGGCAATAACTGGCTACATCCGAGGCCGTGATGTCCACATGATTTCCGAAGCCGCCTTAGACCCCGATTGGACCGGTGATGTGGCGATGTATTCTCACCGGAGTGGTGAAGTTATCACCCTCCCGTACAATGTTTCTATGCCAATTTCCCTCAAGGTCCTCGAGCATGAAATTTACACCGTTACGCCAATTAAAGAACTGGCACCCGGGTTCACTTTTGCACCATTGGGACTCATCGACATGTTCAATGCTGGTGGAGCAATCGAAGGGCTTAAATACGAGATCAAGTCGGGTGCAAAATTATCCGAAGTTGAGAATGGGTTTGATGGAGAGAGAGTCGAAAACTTAAGCAACGAAGTTGTGGCTATAGTTTCCATGGAGGTGAAGGGCTGCGGACGTTTCGGCGCTTACTCATCTGCGAAGCCCAGAAAATGCACAGTGGGATCATCTGTTGTCGACTTCGAGTACGACTCCAACTCCAGCTTGCTCACATTGAAGTTGAACGATATGCCTCTGGAGGATCAGAAAGTACACATTGTTGAAATCGAATTATGAGATCATTATTTTTAGGCTAGACTATGGATTTCCTTTTCAGATTCATTTAGCAGAGGTGTTATTCATAACCGCTTAGGGTTCATGAGTGACATTGTAATGACTGGAGAAAATATTCAAATTCAAATGAATGTCTTCTCCCGTTTGTAGCAAAGACATGAGAAAACCATATGTCCATGCTCTGAATTCAGACTTCTTGCTATGAAGAGGCTAATGTAATAAAATGAGATCGAGAGAATTTGCGACTATTCATCCTTACACTAATAAAACTATGTCGTGTTCTACTATGTAATAGAAAGTAGTGTTGATGCAATCATTTGAGTTAGCTCTTGGCAATTTTTCACTATCGACTTACATTCTTTTTCTTCTTGCCGTACAGAGTTGTTTAATATTTTTCTTTAACATTTTACGAGGTACACGACTACACGAGTACCAGAGCCTAAACTGACGCTATTTTACTTTCCAATCGTCAAGTAAGCTACCTCTTTGCTCTCTTATTTACCCTTCCTCTTTATCATCATTATGTTGGAGCAGCCATTTATTTCTTCCTGTTTTATGCTGCTTTCACCCCCCACAGACCAGTGGCTGGCCCTTTCTTCCTTTTATTGTGATTTACCTAGAGCTTGTAAAAATCCCTTCAAGTTCCTTCTTTTTTTCTGGGATCTTTTTACGAATGGACTATTTTCAAACAAGAATTTAGAAAGTACCATAGTGCCAATATTTTTTGGGAAAATACCGGGTTACAATCGTTCTTTGCCTGATTTCCACGACCGTGACTCTCATTCCCTGCCAGCCCCAAGCTCTAACGCCACGATCAAGGAATCCACTCATTCTCGACCCACCACCAGATCTGATGAATCTGCGACTGGGATGACTAGTTTGGGGGGGTGGGAGGTGGGGTTTACACATTGTTTTTCAGAGAAAACAAAAACTCCTAAAATTATAACATAAGATGTACGTTTTCTTTTTCTTTGTTTAATTAGTACGGGCTCCTAGCCCTTTTTCTCTATTCTTCTAACTTCTCATCCTCATCTTCATCCCAGTGCTCATTATCCTCAGTTTCTTCATTGTCACTTTCAAAAGGTTGAGATAACAGGTTTTCGAGTTCATTACCAAAGTCATCATTGTGTTCCCGTCCTTCAAACTTCTCGTTGCCTTCTCGACTGTCAGTATATTCGAAGACTTCATTTTGGTTGATTTTCTGGTTAGAACTTCGCCGTTCAAAGAATTCAGTCTCTTTATTTTGTGAAGGTTCTGCAGCAGGTTGATGACCAAATCCTGTTTGCTGATAGAATGATTCTTTCTGAAAATTCCAATCTTCAGCAATCTTCTCCATTGTGTCTCCAATCGATATATTGTTTTCTGCTATGTGCTTTACATTTTGTACGTCTATGTCCTTGCTGGCCTCTAACAGAAAGGAAATAGTAGTTGATATCAATAAACAATGCAATTTGAATGACAATTGTTGCAAAATATGGAGAAATGAAAAGAATCAATCCTGATCTTCTGCCCTAGTGGACAGGATAAAAACTTTCCACCCGAAACATTCATAAATTTAGAGAACCATAACTAATGCTATCTTGCTACGGGAAATTTTTATCGAGCCCACTAGGGGCAAAAGATCAATTCTATGAAAAGATTAAGAAAGTCAATTGCTGTGGTAGGGCCGAGTATGATTGACATAATTGCCAGAAAGGGGAGGACGAAAATGAGTAACGAAAACAACAGCCAACAAGAATCATATAAAAAGTATTTACAGTTTATCAAAATCTATTTCATTTGAAGATTCTCACATCATAATCTTCTCATCAGTAAAACGTACAATTTCTTGTGTACTAGAAGATGAAATAAAACAGGAGCCTTACCTGTAGTGGATTCTACTCTATAACAATAAGGGAGCAACTTGGCAAAACAGATTACTCACAAATCTAAAATTTAAATTAAAACTCACTGGTAATTTGCAAAAAAAAGATAGTATGGTACCTCTGATGGAAAGATCCTTGGCGACTGCATATTCTGCTGCTTTTTTCTTGATCAAATCAACATCAAGTTCCGTTCCCTTTGGTAAGATGAAAAAATTAAATGCATATTTTCTCTAGAAGATTAAATGAATTGTGTAAATCTAGGACAGGATTATAAAAATTTCTAGCGCCGAGGCAAAATAGATTTGGTTGCTGCCCTCTGACAGGTTCGAGCATATATGGTATTCCCATTCAGTTAAGTACCCTTCATTCATTAAAAAAAAAAAAAA